CCCCAAAACCCCAAAACCCCAAAACCCCAAAACCCCAAAATATTCCCTTCAGTTGAACTTCAATTCCTAAACCTCCAGTTTTTACCCTCGGTCAAAAATCCAAAATTTAAACCCCCAAAATTTATCCAAATCTCACTTTAGCTTGTTCTCTATTCATCAGAAGGACCCAGTACAAACCCAGGTTTGATGCAGGCACAATTGGCCTTAAGCCTGCATGAGTAGAGATGGGCTGAAAGAGATTGGTAATTATGTACCCAGAGGCTTGACAAAGTCCAGGAGTCAAGCTACCTTACCTTTTAATAAGATAGAAGGAAAATGAAGAGAACTTACAAGCTTAATTTTATTTTACCAAAGATTATTTATAAGGTAAAAACTTTCTCACCGAATGAAGAGCAAGTTCTTTTGAGTTGTTCACGCTGGTGTTTGGGGAAGAATTCTTGGGTTTTAGATAGTATCTAAAATAATTTAGTAAACCAAGATATTAAGAGAATTTATAGAGATTAGATATTTTTAAAAGAATTAGAAATCTTCGTTTGAAAAATAATATTATGAGGAAAAGATACTAATATTATCTAATAATTTTACCTGAAATTTGATCAATAAAGAAGGCTGTTTTCATTGAAGTTAATATTAATATTTCAAAGTTCATGAATCAAAAAATTAATCTCAAAAGGGTGAAGACCTTGAAAATAAAACCGTAAAATTGAACGAATTGTACCTTGGAACTCCAAGAGCCTCTTGTGAGTTATCAGGAGCATTGAGGTTGTTATTTCTATTCATAGTTTGCACTTTAACTTTTCTAATAACAGGCTTAATCCGATTCTTCCTCTCCTTAGATTTTCAGTATTCAATAATTTGGATAGTGAGTTTACCCAGACTTACAATAACAACCATGATTGTGTTTATGATAATTGAGTTATTCAGAATTTCAGTCAAAATATATGAGTCAACCTTCTGGATTCATATGATCAGGATAGTGTCGAGAAAATAGCACGACTCGTTGATGATATCAGTAATGTTAGCTGAAATAGTATCGTGAGGTCTTTTAATGATTACGAGGATGAAAGAAGCTATTTGTAAACATGAAAAGATAGACAGACGATATATCAGATCAATCTTTCTTAACAATACAATGATTAGAACACAAAGAAATCTTCTGATTAAGAACCAAAAGTTGTACAGTTGCTCAAAGTTCTTCTTCTTAAATCCCACATATAGCTCTTTGATATATTTGTTCTGAAAAGGATTTTTGGTACAGAAATACAGAATAGGAACCAATCCAATAAAGGCAAGGATTATGGCAATATTTCCAAGATTCAGCAAGTATGAAACTTGATGATCTTTTGCTTCTCTTACTCTGGCAAACTCACTAAATGAGACCAATCACATAAAAAGAAAGCTCTCTAAAAGGAACCTTAGGTAGAACTTGAAGTAAACCAAAGAAATAAAGTAGTTATAAACTTTGAGTCAAAATCCACTATTCTTCTTGAGCAAACATTTTAGAATCAGGTGAATTAAAGATATCCCGATAGTTGCTCCAATGAAGGCAAGTAAGATTTCAAATGAGTTAATAAAGGCACTTCCTGACTCATAGCCGTTTTCTCAGAACTCTGAGTGAGGGTTTTCATAGTTAATTAGCTCTATTAATGGTTCTAATATTGGGAAGGTCTTTATGTCAAAAAGATTGGGATTCAGAATATTTATCTCTAGAACTTTTAAAGTCTCAAAGAACTCTATTGGAAGTTCTGCTTTCAAAAACGGTAAAATCATGAACAGCTGGAACTGGTTGAACAATGCCCACATATTCTTCATTGATGAGCCTGTCACAGCACCTCCTACCATCGATGCTAGCATTGAACCTGCAATTCCTGCTATTGTTACTGCAGATTTTACGTTGAGGGAATCATCAACTTTGGTACAGGTTTTAGAGGTTGTTAGTATGTATCCGTCCTTACAAGCAGTGCATTTAGAAGAGATGCAAGTTTTACAGTTCTGGATGTTACAGACTGCTGGGGAAGTAGGAGATGGATTTGACTCCTCTGGGTCTGGAGTAACAGGTTCTGGTTCTGGCTCCGGTTCTGGTTCTGGCTCCGGTTCTGGTTCTGGTTCTGGTTCTGGCTCCGGCTCTGGCTCTGGCTCTGGCTCTGGCTCTGGCTCTGAGACTTCACCTACATTTATCTGGACATTTCTAATATAAGTCTTTCCACCAACTATACTTCTTGCAGCAAAATAAAATGTTTGCCCATCTACAGCTGCTGGGACTGTATAATCAAACGATAAAGAATCAGCCCCAACTGATACCCAAGATGGCTTTGGTTCTCCATTTGACTGGACATCAATTACAGAATTGATTGATGTTCCTCCAGTGGTAGAGCAAGGATAAATATTTGGAACGTTTCCAGTCTCTTGAGAAGAAGTACTTAACACAAAATCTGTTCCTTTATAGATTACATCTAACTCCACACTCAAATCACCAGTTTCTACGAGAGAGGGTAAAACTTGTGAAGCAATAGTTGCTGTTCCTTTAGTTACAGGTGAAGGTACTAAAGGATAGTTAATAGGATCATTAGAGTATGAGTATCCAGATGATGAAATAAATGAACCGCCGGTTGATAAAAATGATACTGCCGTGTTTTGACCATATATTCCATTTGAAGCTAACCTTGATATTGCAACCGCAGAACTAGAAGATGAAACACCAGACCCAATTAGAGTGTGGCCTCCTGCTTCAAGTATCCATCCAGGGAGGATAGTTGTACTGAAATATGCATTTGAAAATGAATTGGTGAGGACATTATATTCAAATTTGTAGGCTCCACCATCATGTTTCAGCAGCACGAATACTTTACTGAATGAAGTAGAGTAAGCGATACTACTGATTTCCAGATTGGTCTGAGTGAAGTCTGGTACAAAAGAACCCTCAAGAGTTCCATCAACAAGATTGCTTACATAAAAGATTGGTTTAGTATCCAAAAAGTAGCTGATAATTTTGTTATCAGATTCTAAAATCAATGCACCATTGGCTCCACTCAGAATTCATGCAGTTGGGCATCCAAGCTTCTTCGCCCATTGCTGAGTGCCTGTATCATACTCAACCGAGAGTAAACTGTAGGCTTGAGTAGGGCTCGCCACTGAGCCACTAATCATCAGGAGTTCTTGGCTTGAAATAACATAGGAATGGATGGAGTAAATTGAGTTCATACTGATAGGGATCGAAGAAATGGTTGTAGTTCCAAAGTCTGCATATCCAATTTTAAACACATGAGGAGTTGATGAGATTGTGCCTGAAACATAGATATTAGAATAATCGTCTGAGAAGGTAATAGAATGGCAATTTATTGCAGTTCCAATTTTCAAGTCTTCAATAATGGAGTTTGAGGTACTATCAAATTTTACCAAAGGACAGTCTGAAGAAGATTTAAGCGCAAATGCTAAATTAGAGTCTGAGTGAAGAGAAATGGAACCCTTGGCTATATGATAGTCATCAAAATTTCTCATCCAAATAGGAGTAAAGTTTGAATCAAATTTGAAAATCCTAGATTTTTCTGTGGGTGATAATTCTCCATTTACAGTAAAGTAAACACATGAGTTGTCTGGGCAGGAGATTCCATTAGTAACTTCAATATTTTCAAACGTTATGTCACTGAATGAATAACTTTTAATCTTCATTGAGGTGTCAGTCCCGGCTGGGCATTGGGCTGCCATCATAATTTCCAGTAAGGTAATTAACCTATACATGTATATTTAGCATCACCAAATTTAAATGAGAAAACAATGCTGATATTTAAATTATAGATCCGAATAAAGCCCTGTCTAGCTGAAGACACCCTAAAGCTTTGTCGTATATCTATGAATTCCTAAATAGTTCTCTGTGAGTAAAGGAAAGAAAGAGCAAGAAAGGTAATAGCTTTTGGAAATTTGTGAGGTATTACAAAAAACGGTGAATAGGTTATATAATTTAATATAATTAGAATGAATTAGTTATGAAAAAGGAATTCTGGGCTGGTGAAGGAAATTTTAAAACTATTGACATATTTTGAGCTTTAATTAGAATTAATCGTACTCTAAATTTCTCATAGAAGAAAAAGATAATAATTAAGCTTCATAATTTTTTCGAAAAAACTCCAATTTTTTCATATAACCCCCTATCTAGGAATCAATTTTTCAAACATATCAGCATCCCCAATAATCAAACCCTTATCAAACGCCTCCACAAAAACCTTCATCAACACAAAGCCAGCCTCCTGACACCCCTCTCCCTAAAAACCTACAAATTCTTACAAAAACACCCCAAAAAATCCTAAATCTCTCCTCCATAAACCCCCAAATTAAAATCTCTTCCACCAAATTTCCACTGACAAATTCTTAAATTTCCTTCTCCACAAAAAACCTAAGTCTAAAGTTTACTAAATAGGTTGAAAAATAGAACAAAATTGTTAATTTTTAGAAAATTTTAGGCTATATTGAAAATTTCTGAATTTTTGTGGTGACAAGGGAATTTTGGGAATTGATAGTTAAGATGGAGGTGGAGATTGTAAAGGGAGGAAGAGGTGGGGGAAGTGATGGGGTTGGAAAGGAATAGAAGGGGCTGAGGGGGAGGTATTTGGTGGGATAGTGTTTTGGAAAATAACCAAAAATTGAATTTTTTGGAGGAGGAGTAAGGATGTGCGCTGCTAGAGGTCTTAGTAGATTTAAAGAAACGTGAATAACATAATAACTTTATTGTAGATTGCAATTAATGTCTTCATTGCTTAATTCGAAAATTTTCTAATATCACTATTGTTCACAATAACTCCCTTGCTTCTTACTAAGCGCAAATTCTCTCATTCTAAGACCTGGGAGGAGTGTTCATAGGGTTTTAAATAAGGAATCTTGAAAGCTTGATGCTGGGTTTATTTTCCCTCATATTTAATTGTAACTCACCATATTATGATCATTGTTAACTTAATATTTATATTAATAACATCTTACTACACTCTTTTATGTAGTGGGGTTTTGGGGTTTTGGGGTTTTGGGGTTTTGGGG